TAAGGCGGCTTGCTGATCTCGTCACTGGGAATAATTAAACTAACGGCAAAGGTTTATAATACATGTCACAAACATATTGTGAACTTTGTCAGACTTTAATCTGACCAGACGAAATATTATTAACTGAATTCATACGATATTTAAACTAATTTTACATGCATAACAATTTCTTATTAATTTTTATATTAATTTTACGTACTTTATCTTAGATCTGATTTGAGATTAGTTTATTCAAATGGTTATTGTTTTAAGATATTTGAATCTCTGCATATATTAATAAGAAAAAAATAATATTTGACTTTACGACATTGATGTTGATTTTTTATACTAGATGGCGCTTATTTAATATAATCTGTGGTTTGTCAAAAGACAAATTATTTTATTCCAGTATATATTGAGGCTGTATACACCTCATAAAATGTTTCATTTTGATATAAAAAAAAACTATTTTTTAAGTTTTTAAATCCATTCCAAGAATCGTTTAAGAAACAAAAATTGTGATTTTTTTTTGTATTTTAAATATTTACATATCCATAAATGTTATTGTTCTTTTATATGTAATCTTTGATAGATTCAAAGGAATTTTATATATTAAAATGTGTTTTTTTTCTAAAGTATTATCAGACTAACAATGGGTGTTGGGTAGCAAATTATATCTTTTGTTATATTTTTTTATATCAATAAATGTACTTAATAAAAAAACTATGAAGTTTTATTTTTAAATACTGCACCCATCAACCATTGTGAGTACAAATTACTTTAAACACTATATTAGAATACAAAATGCCACTTAGTTTGTTAATTGATCGCTAAGGGATGTTTACAATGTTATGAGAAATCTAACCTTAAGGACTGTTGTGTGACTGTAAAAGTAAACTCGTTAATATCTTACTTCTTACTAATATTATATATGCGAATGCTTGAATGGATGGATGGATGGATGTTTGTTTGAAGTTTTCTCCCGGACGGCTGCATGAATCTTGCGGAAATTTGGCATGTATGTAGTAGATTGTCTGGAAGAACACGTAGGCTACTAGTTAGTTTTTTTTTTATTCCTTGTGGACTGAGTCGCGGGCAACAGCTAGTAAGACGATAAAACAAAGGCCAATACACGTATTGTAGAAAGAATGTCCGGATGAAACTATAGAACCACAAATCAAGAGCAAGTTGTCTTGATTCATCAATTATTTATGGTAAAAAAACAGACAAATCCATGCAAAATATACAATTTTACTAACTTTAATTGTCTTTGACAAAATACAGACTATATCAAAGTGGCTTACCATAAACTACAAACACCTATAGTTGTTGATTAACCGTTGGTTTCCGAGACCAAAATCTCTATAAAAACATATCGTCATTTCTTTCAAGACAAAATATATAACAATTATGTTTTAACCAGAGATGTCTGTCTCAGAAACCCACAATTATAAATACTTATTGGTGTTAAGGTGGGCGGTACGAGCAAGCGTTCAGCGAGCGCGTGGCCGCCGCCATCTTCGTTGGGAATCCCACATACATTCCAAGTACATACTTACACTCGGCCGACGGTTTGCCGACTCTGCAAGAAGTTGTTACGAGGCTTGTTCAAACAAGGCTTACAGTGCGGCGACTGTCATTACAACGCTCATCGAAAATGTCTGCCCTTCGTGCCAAAGGATTGCGGCGCGGAGATACGTGACGCCCATAGTGCGTGTAATGTATTTTAAAATGATTACAGGGAATCTTTGGGAACGCTTCGCTTAATCTTAAAATCTTAAGCTTAATAAAAAAAATATTCAAAGCTTGTAATTTCTAATTTTCATACTAATAGGAAGAGGAAAGATTTGTTTGTATTGAATAGGATCCGAACCTACTGATTTGAAATATTTCTGTTCTACTATTACTAGATTTACTAAACATATTAATATAATTAGAGTATCTTTCAAACGTCAATAGCCTAATCCGATTTCCGATCACGATCAGGGGTTCGAATCCCACCATTCGACTATTGTCGTAAACCATATCCTAGCACAAGTCTAGATCTTAGTTGGAATGGTAAAAGAAATATTAGTATATTTACAAAAAAATCTGCTAATATTTAAAAATAAATCTTTATGTAATATCGAGAAAAAAATATATATTTCGGACCCGTGATGTATTTGCATTGCTGATAAAAACAATTTTTAAAATGTTTGTATGTCTGTCCGCAAGACCGCGTTTGTTCCGAATCTTAACCGATTTTGACAGGCTCGAACGGGAAGGTAGCTCATGCATACGCGAATATTATAGGCTAATTGTGCTGTCAAAGTCGCGGGCTCTAGCTAGTTACACATTTATATAAAGATAAATGTACATACCCTTAGGTGAGTACCAGGACAGCAGCACTGGCTCGGAGTTGTCTGAGAACGCGCGGCTGCCAGACGAGGAGTCCGATGAGGGGGCAGATGGCGCCACTGATGATGCCGACCACGAGGTATGTTTCTGTGTTACCGAACAATTATGAAATTAGTAATTTCATTATAATACCAGGTTGGATAAGCAAAAAGCTGTAACATCAAATGGACTGATATTTTCTTATGTTAAAATTGTTTACTCAAACATTTTTTTACGCCAATAACATGACATTAGCATTATATTTTCGGTTGTATACTAAACACATCTGAAAGTAATCTGATATAAAAACGGCTAAACACTCATGTATATTCGTCCGGTGGCGGCACCGACTAGTTTCGAGCACATCGGGGGCCTTCATCAGGATGAGTGGTACTGGTATTATTTCAGAGAGCGACGGGCCGCGTCCGCGAAATAATACCAGTACCACTCATCCTGATGAAGGGCCCCCGATGTGCTCGAAACTAGTCGGTGCCGCCACCGGACGAATATACGTGAGTGTTTAGCCATTTTTATATCAGTTTAGTATAATGTCTCACGAAAGTTTGAATAATTTACATCTGAAAGTTTTGATGTCAGTCAAATAACATATCTTTCCTGGAGGTTGTATGTGTTTGTATGTAACATTTTTTGGAATAATAATTTGAATGGCAATGTATGGTGCAGTTGTCGCGGCGAGGGCAGGAGGAGGAGCCGCAGCGTGACACTCTGCCGGACCGCTCCGCTAGCCGACCCAGCAGGTGATGATGATGATGATGAGAGTAATGTGTATTGATGATGATTTATTCTAAATTCAAGGAAAAAACCACAAATCTTTTCAAAAAATAATCACCAACTCATATCACCACAGAACACAGCGAGCTTTCTTTTTAGAAGATCTTGTCTCAGAAACCCATGATGACTCCACTAACGCTTTATATAATAACACTAGGAATTGAAGAAAAAAAAACAATTTAACAGCTTCAACGGGTCACAACAAACTTTCTATCCTTTGGCATGACTAGTTAAATCTAACGTTGTTAATTCCAGTTCATCTTCCTCACCAAGTGCAAACATCCCATTGATGCGTATCGTACAGTCAGTTAAACATACCAAGAAGAGAGAAGGACAATGGCTCAAGGAGGGCTGGATGGTGCACTTCACTAACAAAGATAAAACGGTAAGTCATATTGTCACATCCAGTACGTCTAGAAGAAAGTGTATGGGTAGCTGAGAAGACATTCAAAGATGTGTGTAATGTGTAATTTAACCTTAAATTAAAATAGGCTAAACCCCTTTGTTGAAATATATAATAAAAATGCTGGGTCCATAACTATTTATTTACCCTAAGAACCCAATATCAATACATTGAATTACAAAGGTACCTACTTACGTTACCTTAAAGCAATAATAATTCGGTATTAACAAATCAAAGAACTAATTTTTAACATGTAAGAGAAGTCATTGGCTCCTGTACTACATGGAAACCTAGTACAAGAGCCAAGGTCGTAATTAATATTGTTTTCAGATCAAACGTCACTACTGGCGACTGGACAGCAAGTCTATAACACTGTTCACATCAGAACAAGGCACTAAGTACTACAAGGAGATCCCGCTCAACGAGATTCTGGCTGTGGACACCGCGCGACAGCCGCACTCCGGTCAGTTTACACTGCTAACTGTAGCTTTCTGAGACCAAAAGTCTCCCTTTAACATATTGTTTTGATTGAGATTTTGAAGTCAAAAACCAACGGTAAATGTACTAACTAAAAAAACATTTTATTTCATTTTAAGGAAATATACTTGTTAGTTTTATTTTTCACGTATTTTTAAGATTAAAGAAAAGACGTACAAAGTAAATTAAACCTTGTTTCAATGGATTAAAGCTTAATTTTACGGGCGAGTAAAGTTGTATTAATGTAAAAAAAATCCAAATATTGTAAAAGATGATACTACATATCTGATTTACAGGCGTTTCTTGGTTCCGGGTTTTGTTAGTTGATAAAGATATGTTGGTTGTGTAGATGTGATGCATTGCTTCGAGCTGCGCACAGCGAACGTGGACTACATGGTGGGCGTGGACCCGGCGTGGGCGGGCGCGGCCGGCGCGGTGCCGCCCCCGCCCTCCGGTGTCGGCGCCTACCTCGCCCGCTCCTGGGAGACTGCTGTGCGTCAGGCGCTCATGCCGGTCACACATCGCT